TGAGGTAGGGGAATCGCTTGAACACGGGAGGCAGAGGTTGCAGTGAGCTGAGATCAAGCCACTGAACTCCAGCCTAGCAACAGAGCAAGACTTCATCTCAAAAAAAATAAATGAATGAATAGGTATATATATATATATATATATATATATATATATATATATATATGTATATACATTCACGTATATATCTACATATATATGAATGTATATGACTATTCCTTCTTCATTTATATATGTGTGCATATATATGACTATATATATAAGACCATTCCTTCTTCATTTATTTTTGTATATATAATTTTATATATAAATAAATGAAGAAGGAATATATATATGTATATGAAGAAGGAATGGTCTCTGACTTTAAAATGCTAGAAGAAGAGATAAGATGCATCGGTCCGTCAAACCACAAGTGATAAGTGCTGTTAGAGATATATGGATCAACGGCTCAGGGCGTTCTGAGGACAGAGACATTGTATCTGTTTGCGAAGGGTTTGCTGGGGGAAAGGCATTCAGACTGGCCTTGAAAATCCAATCGAGTTGGAATATGTGGAAAGAAAGAAGAGCATCTTAGACAAGGATATGGCATGGATGAAGGCCCAGCGGTGTGGGCAGGCAGGGCATCTGTGGAAATGGACAGCTCAGTCTTGCTGAGGCAGGGAGTTGGTGCAGAGCCTGGGGGCCCTGCTTTCAGAGGATTTCCAAGAGGAAGGAGGGCAAAAATACACAGATGAAGGCAAAGAATGACAGCATGGGGGCCAAAGACTTGTTTAGTTTGGCCAAGATGCTGTTTTTAAAATTTAAGCCAATTTTGAAAACCAGGTTTTACATAAAAATCCAAATTTCTGGCCTTTCCTGAAAATGTGAAAGATCCGGCAATATCTTCCTCCTTTCGGTAGGAGGAGTTCTGTGTCCCCAGCACCAAAGTCTGGCTTGTTTCTTCCCCACACTCTGCTTGCTCAGCCCTCCAGCATCTGAGTGTAGGAACCTGACTCTGCTATAGGTATCAGCTCAGGGAACACAGAGGCAGAAACACCAGAAGGAACCCCAGGGGCCTCTCCCCCACCTTGCTGTCATCGTGTTGGCTGTCAGACTTCCCTGTCTCTCTCTACTACTCAAACACAGACCCTCTTCTTTAATATTTCAGCATGCATGACTTTCAAAATTATAAGACAGGGAAGTATCAAAAGCATCACCAAAAACTCATGCCACCAGGATCTGAGACTCAAAACAGTGTGGGTCAAACACCATCAAAGTGTCGGGCGGGGCAATCTCAGCTTGTTTTCTTCTTTTTATGTAAGCTGAATAATTAGAGAACTAACGTAACACCAGTCTTTTGATCCTATCCTGCCGGGACCCAGACTTGGAGATGTATTAAATGGATTCTTCCTTTTCTAAATGTCTACAATCTGCCCTTCTCTGCTTCATAACTCTTCTCAAAGTCTGTGCCTTGGACCCTCCCATTAGCTACTGAGAATGGCATAGTAACATCTGAGAAAGGTTGGATTCTTCCTAGGGACAGAAAATCCACATATGGGAAGTGCAAATCCTGTGCCGAGTAATCAGGAAAGCAGTTGCAGTAGCTTTGGGTCATAGAGCCCCAGGAGACCTCACGATCTAGCCCCCTTCCTGGCAACACTAATGAATTAAGAGGTCACTTTCGTAATTCCAAAGGCTAAGCCTTTGTAACTATAAATAAATACATAGAATGAAAGGAATGTAGGGAGAAAAAAGCAAACAGAGGAGGAAAGGAAATGAAAACCTGACTTGATTTCATTGAGAAAATTAGTTTTAAAATGCCCTTTGTGTAGCAATTTCTTTAATGCCTCACCGAACAAATGCCTAGGAGAATTCTTCCAAACTTGAGGGCCCCTTAGCCAGACCTTGGCGTGCCTCTTAGGCTGAAGTTCAGCAGCTCTGGGAGGTACAATGAGAAGAGTCGTAGGAAGGTTTTTGTGTACTTATGGCAAGCAGCAAGAAGAAAGCTTGATGAACCACAAAACTGGAGACTTTGTAAGGTACAGCTCAGTCAGCACTTTGCCTCTGAGGAGAGAACACACAATTGGCACGAAAGTGACCCAAGCAACAGGTCATGGCAGAGAATGTCCAAAAGTAGAAGACTTCCAGCTCCCCGATCTTCCATGTGTCACAGTGAGGATTGCTGCACTGGACATGTCTTGCCCAGATGCAAATGCTGGTCCCATTTAAATGCCATTTGCAGACCAATGTGAATTAGATGGTAACATCAGGAAGCCTGGAATCAGTGGTGGGGGGGCGGGGGGGTGCTGTATTTGGTTGGCTTTTTCCCCCTGTGGTTTTCACCATCTGTTTCTTTGAATGCATAAACAAGGAAAATGACTGGTTTGGAATGCAGAGTTTTAAAAAACCAGATGACCACAGGCATCCTCTAAATGAGAAAGAGAGAGCAAGTTGGGGTTCTGTGACATTTGTCAGGAAGTGAAATGTTAAGTACCGGGAAGCATTAGCGCTCTCTGCCAGGGAGGATCCACAAAGGCAAGGAAACACTTTGGCGGTGACCCTGCCTTCCTTCTCTGAGGTTGTGCTGTGTTTTATGTCACCTAGTGCTATTTTCAGACACCAATGTTACCCACTCTATCTCCCAGCCAACTTCTGGTTTTTGTTTCATTTTTGTTTTTGTTTTTTTTTTTTTTTTTTTTTTTGAGATGGAATTTCACTCTTTTTGCCCAGGCTGGAGTGCAGTGATGCGATCTCAGCTCACTGCAACCTCCGCCTCCCGGGTTCAAGTGATTATCCTGCCTCAGCCTGCTGAGTAGCTGGGATCACAGGCACAAGCTACCGCATCCATCTAATTTTGTATTTTTAGTAGAGACAGGGCTTTACCATGGTGGACAGGCTGGCCTCAAACTTCTGACCTCAGGTGATCCGCCTGTCTCGGCCTCCCAAAGTGCTGGGATTATAGGCATGAGCCATGGCGCCCGGCCTGCCCGCTTCTGCTTTTTCAATGAAAGATGAACAGTTAAGCTGGACTTCAGCATAACCACCCTTGGTTTTCCATTAGCATTATTGCTAACTTGTTGACCTTGGAGAAAATCCACTCTTAGAAACTTTTAAGCTGAACAAAAGCTGCACTATGAGCTATGATAAAGCCAAAATGGCACTCCAAGTAGAGGGTCTGATGAGACGGACTAAGGGGAGACCTTCGTTTCTCTCCTGGACAACAGGGAGTGAAAAAACAATCCCATAAGAGCATTAAGAACACAGTGTGCTTTTCTTTCGCTAAGGGCATCCTGCTTTAAAAAAAGAAGGTTTGCTCTGCACAATAGAGTGGACACTCTCTAAAACAGTTCCGTATGCTCCATGCCAATGGACCTCAAAGCAATAGGCTCCTTTTTAAAACCCAAGACGGTGGAGAGACTTGATGGAAATTTTGAGTGCATACGAACCTCTTTTACCTTCGTTGCAAGAAATAATCAGTTGTAAGCACTAGGGATTTAAAGCCAAATTGAACTCAGGCATTTTTAGAGCCCTTGGGGAGAAGGGCATTGGTGCATTTGGCTGAGTTCCACCCGTTTCCGCATAAGACGGACGTGGAGCATTTTTTACATAGTTTTGTAGGCAGCCTGACGCCAGAGTTTTCACTTTAGAGAAAAGATAAAAGATGACAGTTTCTTAGGGAACAACCAACTCTTCCTAATTTGCAGTGTCTGTTCTCAAAGATGTTGTGAGCAGTGGTGAGATGGGCACTGTTAATGATTCGAGGGATGGGGGTTAGGCAGAAACAAGACCCCCCCGCCAGCCATTTAGAAGCCTTTGGAGGATTACATATATTTCAAAATGAGTTAAGTTCAAATAATTTTTTTTTTTTTTTGCTGGTGCTTAGCACACCAGTGAAGTATGTAGATATGAAAACGGGAGGCTATTAGGTAAGATTCGTTTTACTGGCATTCGTTCCAGATGCCAGCATCGTGATGAATGCTATTTGACTTCTGACATCCCTTGACGTAGGTACTGTTGGGGATGTTTTCTTTCCTGGTGGAAATGGGAAAATGATTAGAGACCAGGGGTCAGGAGACCTGAACTCTGTTCCTGGTGCCTCCGTGGCTCAGTATTTTGTTTGATAAGTTAGATTGAAAGTTTCCAGAGGTTTCGAGGATAGCACGGTTTGAGCATCCGTTTTGTAAAAGTACTCTGATGACCCGTGGAATTACAGTTATAATCATCATCATAATGTCCAATGAAGAGGCTTACTGAGGAAGGCAAGAGAGGAATTTTAAGTGGCTGAACTCTATTTGCATTATTCATTTTACAAATAGTTTCAGAGCCTTAAAACAAATTTCAGTATGCAGTACTTTTTGCTGTTATTGTTGTTGAGACAGAGTTTTGCTCTGTCACCCAGGCTGGAGTGCAATGGCGCGATCTCGGCTCACTGCAACCTCCGCCTCTTGGGTTCAAGCAATTCTCCTGCCTCAGCCTCCTAAGTAGCAGGGATTACAGGCACATGCCACCAAGCTCGGCTAATTTTTATATTTTTAGTAGAGACGGTTTTGCCATGTTGGCCAGGCTGGTCTCAAACTCCAGACCTCAGGCGATCCGCCCACCTTGGCCTCCCAAAGTGCTGGGATTACAGGCATGAGCCACCGTGCCCAGCCATTATGTGGCACTTTAGATGTAAACTGCTCCTCTACAACTTTCATAAGTTTCGCACAAGTCTCCCTTAAAATATATTTTTGAAATATACTTGTAGTGCATCACCCCTATCTGATGGACTTTGAGATGATTTTGTGATCACAAGGAAGGATGATAAGAGATATTTTAGGGCTTTGTTTTTCATTGGGATTCAGGGGGGATTTAAAAAGTTTACTAACCTGGTGTCTACTTGTCTTCTTCCTGTTGTGTTTTCTTTCTTTGGTTTCCTTCTTTTTGTGAGGGAGAGTTGAGGGATGAGTGCCTGGTTAGGAGGCAAGGAAATCAAGGACTCAGGCTTGGAAATTTATGTCTCTGTGTGTTTTCTCTTACAGGTGATAACCCCCGTGAGGACAGGCCATGGCTACGTATACGAATACCCATCCAGATACCAAAAGGATGTCTACGATATCCCACCTTCCCATACCACTCAAGGGGTGCGTACAAGAACGTGGTCACAAGAGGAGCAGAGCTCCTAGGGGTATTGTTCCTTCAGGGCTGTAGAGAAAAGGAAGTTCACAATTTATGTATTAATATATGTCATATGAAGCTTTATTTAGGTTGTCTACCCAGTAGCCACATTAGCCAACACTATTTAAATTATGTTGTCTGGATATGCTTTATCCAAAAATCCTAGTATTTCACCTGAGAGAGCTTTTGTTCTTCCATACTTTTACTTCAGAAAGTAGATTTTTTTTTTTTTTTTTTTTTTTTTTTTTTTTTTCTGAGACAGAATCTCGCTTTGTCGCCCAGGCTGGAGTGTAGTGGCGTGATCTCAGCTCACTACAACTCCAGCTACCGGGTTCAGGCAACTCTCCTGCCTCAGCCTCCTGAGTAGCTGGGACCACAGGCACGTGCCACCACACCCGACTAATTTTTGTATTTTTGTAGAGATGGGGTTTTGCCATGTTGGCCAGGCTGGTCTTGAACTCCTGACGGCAAGTGATATGTCTGCCTCGGCTCTCCAAAGTGCTGGGATTACAGGCGTGAGCCACCACCAGCAGCCAGAAAGTACAAAATTTAAACTACACTTTAAAGTATAGACTGTGTGGATATTTCACATCACATCATCTTTATATCCAATCTAAGTTAAAAACCACAAAATGTATAAAGAAAAAAAGACAATCAATCCATTATAATATGGAGCACTGCCAAAGATCAAGCTTGTACATAACCTAGTAAATAACTCTATAATTAAGTGCTTAGGAGCATAAAAAATGACAAGTATAAGACATTTCCATTCTGGGTAACTCATGGGTTTCTCTTCAGGTATATGACATCCCTCCCTCATCAGTGAAAGGCCCTGTGTTTTCAGTTCCAGTGGGAGAGATAAAACCTCAAGGGGTCTATGACATTCCACCTACAAAAGGGGTAAGTGAGTGACTACAAAGCAGCAAAAAGGAGTGTGAGAGTGTGTGTGTGTGTGTGTGTGTGTGTGTGTATGCATGCGTGCACACATCTGCGTGTCTGTGAGGGGCGTGCGGAGTTGGGACGGTAGGTAGGTAGTTTATTGGAATAAAACAAGAAGGGCAAACCAAAAAGGGGAAAAAGTAGCCTTGGTGAGAGTAAAGGAAAGAAGGAAAAAAGAAAAGACACTAATTAAAGATAGCTCTAGGGATTTCATCTTGAGGAGCCCCAACTAAAAAAAATCGGGAGGCCAATAAGGAGAACCCTTTGGCAGGGAACTTAATTAGTTCAGGGATAGGGTATTTGTATATTTGCATTTGTAGAGGGTTGGGTTTGTTTTGTAGAGGGTTTGTTTGCTTTGTTTTGTTTTGTTTTGTTTGAGACAGGGTCTCGCTCTGCCACCCAGGCTAGAGTGCAGTGGCTCAGTCACAGCTCATTGCAACCTTGACTTCCCAGGCCCAAGCAATCCTCTCACCTCAGTCTCCCAGGTAGCTGAGACCACAGGTTCACGCTGCCATGCCTGGCTAAATTGCATTTTTTGTTGAGACGGCGTCTCCCTCTGATGCCCAGGCTGGTTTTGAACTTACAACCTCAAGTATCCTACCACTTTGGCCTCCCAAAGTGGCGGGATTACAGGCATGAGCCACTGCACCTAGCCTGTAGAGCTTTTGACAGTTTTCTCAGTCTGTATGTTCGGGTGAACTCATTTGACTCACTCTGTTACCCTCTGGGGTATGCCTGCACAGGAAGCGTGGTAATCCCTACTTTACAGACAAGGGGACTATGTTTCAGACACCTATGCAGCATATTCAGCATCACACAGCTGCTGTGATGACCAAAGAGACAGCGGGGAGACCTCTGGTCTTACTCTGCCTCTCGGCACAGATCAGCAGAAGAAGGATACCCGGGAGGTGGTCAGAAACGTAGGACTGGAACACAGGAGTGAGCAGTTTAGCCAGGAGGGCTTCACAGGAGTGAGCAGTTTAGCCATGAGTCCGCACCAAGAATGTGGGAGTGGACACACTTGTCAAAGGACAAGCGAAGTGACAGCAGAATCGTGGGGAACCTTGGAAGTGCCTAACATTGGAAGCAGGGGCGGGCAACAGAAAAAGTGCCAGCAAATAGGGCAGAGAACATGGGATCGCATGTTCCCATGAGCCAACTCCATAAACAGCGTTTTGCTGTCTACTTGCTTTTCAGGTATATGCCATTCCACCTTCTGCTTGCCAGGATGAAGCAGGGTTTAGGGAAAAAGACTATGACTTCCCCCCTCCCATGAGACAAGCTGCGAGGCCGGACCTCAGACCAGAGGGGGTTTATGACATTCCCCCAACCAGCACCAAGCCAGCAGGGAAGGACCTTCATGTAAAATACAACTGTGACATTCCAGGAGCTGCCGAACCGGTGGCTCGAAGGCACCAGAGCCTGTCCCCGAATCACCCACCTCCACAACTGGGACAGTCAGTGGGCCCTCAGAACGATGCATATGACGTCCCCCGAGGCGTTCAGTTTCTTGAGCCACCAGCAGAAACCAGTGAGAAACCAAACCCCCAAGAAAGAGATGGTGTTTATGATGTCCCTCTGCATAATCCACCGGATGCTAAAGGCTCTCGGGACTTGGTGGATGGGATCAACCGATTGTCTTTCTCCAGCACGGGCAGCACCCGGAGTAACATGTCCACATCTTCCACCTCCTCCAAGGAGTCCTCACTGTCAGCCTCCCCAGCTCAGGACAAAAGGCTCTTGCTGGATCCAGACACAGCTATCGAGAGACTTCAACGGCTCCAGCAGGCCCTGGAGATGGGTGTCTCTAGCCTAATGGCGCTGGTCACCACCGACTGGCGGTGTTACGGATATATGGAAAAACACATCAATGAGATACGCACGTCGGTGGAGAAGGTGGAGCTGTTCCTGAAGGAGTACCTCCACTTTGTCAAGGGAGCTGTCGCAAATGCTTCCTGCCTCCCAGAACTCCTCCTCCACAACAAGATGAAGCGGGAGCTGCAAAGAGTCGAAGACTCCCACCAGATCCTGAGTCAAACCAGCCACGACCTAAATGAGTGCAGCTGGTCCCTGAATATCCTGGCCATCAACAAGCCCCAGAACAAGTGTGATGATCTAGACCGGTTTGTGATGGTGGCAAAGACAGTGCCCGATGATGCCAAGCAGCTCACCACAACCATCAACACCAATGCAGAGACCCTCTTCAAACCCGGCCCTGGCAGCTTGCATCTGAAGAATGGGCCGGAGAGCATCATGAACTCAGCAGAGTACCCACATGGTAGCCCCCAGGTACAGCTGCTGCATCCTGGTGACCACAAGGCCCAGGCCCACTCCAAGGCACTGCCTCCGGGCCTGGGCAAAGAGCAGGCCCCTGACTGTAGCAGCAGTGATGGTTCTGAGAGGAGCTGGATGGATGACTACGATTATGTCCACCTACAGGTAAAACAACCAAACTCATAAAACACCTAGGCTCACTCACATGCAGGGAGCCTGAGATGGACACCGGTGAGGCTATCGGGTGGGACTACCAAAGGAGAGAACCTGATGAATGTTAAGCCACGTGGTTCATAAATTGGAGGGCATGTTGTAGAGTAGGAAGAACACTGGACTGAGGGTCCTGAGGACTCACTCAGCTCTAGCCCTTTCTCTGACACTTACTGTGTGACCAACTTATTCATCCTCCTCGGGCCTTCGTTTCTTCATGTGCAAAATGAATGGCATAAGGGTTTGGGTTAGATCCCATTGATACACTTCAGGCAAGAGGAGACTCACCAGGTAGGATAGCGCTCTCTCTAATAATAATACCAGCTCCACTTCTATTTGTGTTTTAGGTGTGGTTCCACATAACAACAACAACAACAAAAAAATGTTTTCATCTTTAAGAAAAAGAATAGAAAACCTTTCCACTAGAGATTTTCCAAGGCCCCTGGTAGCTACTTTGTGTGTGTGTGTGTGTGTGTAATTGCTTTAAAACTTAGCCGCATCTCAGACTTACCTAGAGGACCACTGCACATTCGCTAGTTGTCCCTGGAGCTTAATCTATGTATGGGATATTGGACTGTCAAGCTGGCCTCCTACAAGTGAGAATTCCAGCAAGCTCCAAGTTGACCTGGGATTCTGACAGTTGTCGCTTCCACTTTGAGGGATTAAAACATTCTACCAAGATCCATTATTTAGGACTAAGGCTTAATATCTTTTTTTTTTTTTTTTTTTTTTGGAGACAGAGTCTCACTCTGCCACCCAGGCTGGAGTGCAATGGTGCCATCTTGGCTCACTGCAGCATCCGCCTCCCAGGTTCAAGCAATTCTCCTGCCCCAGCCTCCCGAGTAGTTGGGACTACAGGTTCGTGCCACCACATCAGGCTAATTTTTGTATTTTTAGTAGAGACGGGGTTTCACCATGTTGGCCAGGATGGTCTTGATCGCCTGACCTCGTGATTTGCCCGCCTCAGGCTCCCAAAGTGCAGGTATTACAGGTGTGAGCCACCGTGCCCAGCCTAGGCTTACTATCTTATTCTACTATTCTTCTAATTTGACTGAGAGTCACAGATTATATTAAGAACTACATAACTATTATACCGAATTCCCTTGAGTGCAAAAAAGTGTGGGAAGGAGAACTGAGCCTCACCTGATGCTGAGTAGGGAGTGGAGAGAGGACGGAGGCATTGAACATTCACCTTACTGCTTGTCTAAGTCTGCACAGTGGGAAATACTGCTTTGGAGCAGAGATCTACAGATGATTTGAGGGAACTAGAAGTGAGAAGTGGACCACATTTAGACCTGTGTTTGGAGGTTTACAAGTTCACATATAATCTACTGGAAAAGAACCCAGCAGAATAGTCCATGTGTATAGGAGATTTGAAGGGAATCAGGAGTAGCTCTCCGAAAATGGTAAGGTTGCACAGAAAGCTGGCACCCTGTATGGGAATGGGTTTTCTTTTTCTGCCATCCCTGTCCAGGATTCACAGTGCCTCACTAGGTATTCGATGTTGGTGAGGCAGTGGAAAATAAAGAGTATTTACTCATCTGTCAGTGAATTTGTTAGCATAAGTGAATCACAGTGACGACATAATATGTTCTTTATGTTGAAAATTAACAGGGTAAGGAGGAGTTTGAGAGGCAACAGAAAGAACTATTGGAAAAAGAGAATATCATCAAACAGAACAAGATGCAGCTGGAACATCATCAGGTGAGTTCAATCAGAGCAAAATCTGCTTGGCGTTGGAAAGATTTCCCACCTAGTACTAAGGAAAAGTGTAACTTCAAGAGATGATGATTTTGATTCTTCCAGCTCACTGGCGGGAAATCAGTTCCAAAGCGCGGAATGAGGTTTACAAGCAAAGAGGTTTATGACCTTGCTAGTTCATCTGGGTGTATCTGGGTTATTTCTAAACGGCAGTTTTTTTAAATGCTAAACCTGCATATCTAACATATGAGGACTATTTGCGTTAAGGCATTTGGTCTCAAGAAACAAGACCCATTCAAGCTAACCTAATCAAACAGGTTTACAGTAAAGCCATAGTAAGGGAATTCAGTAACAGAAAACGAAGATAGAGCCAGGTCTGGTGAGAACTAGAACTGTAAATTCTCTCTCCTTGTACTTCCTTTGCTTCTTTCTATACATCTACTTCACTCTCCCCTGTTTTCTGGTTTCCTCTGTTTATCTACTCATTTGGCTCCCCTGTAACTTCGCAGAACTCATAAATGGCCACTCAGAGCTTTTTCTATAGATGGCTTCTCATCTCAGCTTCCTCTTCCGATGGTTAGCTCCCTTCTGTGGTTCACTGCGTTCCTAAGAAAGAGTCTGATTGGGCTATTCCGATTGGGCCATTTCTCTTTCTCTCTCTCTCTCTCTCTCTCTCTCTCTCTCTCCCCCCGTGTGTGTGTGTGTGTGTGTGTGTGTGTACCTCTCTCTCTCTGTGTATACCTCTCTCTTTCTGTGTGTGTGTGTACCTCTGTATGTGTGTGTGTGTATACCGCTCTGTGTACCTCTCTCTGTGTGTGTGTGTGTGTACCTCTGTGTGTGTGTACCTCTCTCTCGTCTCTGTGTGTGTGTGTACCTCTCTGTGTGTGTGTGTATATACCGCTCTGTGTGTGTGTGTGTACCTCTGTGTGTGTGTGTGTGTGCATCTCTCTCTCTGTGTGTGTGTGTGCGTACCTCTCTGTGTGTGTGTGTGTGTGTACCTCTCTCTCTGTCTCTGTGTGTGTATGTGTGTGTACCTGTGTGTGTGTGTACCTCTCTGTCTCTGTGTGTGTGTGTGTACCTCTCTCTGTCTCTCTGTGTGTATGTGTGTGTACCTCTCTCTCTGTCTCTGTGTGTGTGTGTGTGTGTGTGTACCTCTGTGTGTGTGTGTGTGTGTGTGTGTGTGTACCTCTCTCTCTCTCTCTGCCTGTCTCTACCTCTCTATTTGTCTCTCTCTCGCCAGCATCACAAGCCTATGGTTTGGCTGGCCTTGGTCCAGTCTAAGAGTAAGGAGCAGAATTCGATGCTTTCAACATATCTCCAGACCTGTCTACCAAGGACTTTGGGCAGGGCATGTTCATTCAAAAGTTGGGTATGAGTAGCACAGATAATGAGTATTGCTAGGACAACGGCATAAAAATAAAGAGAGATGGCTTGAGGATTTATTTACAAGGCTTTTAAGATGAAATGAAGCAAAATGGCATATAATGGCATGAAATGGCATGCTATGTTCAGGAAATCTGAGTTCTAATTCTTTCTGGCCAACCATGTCAAGTACAACCAACTACGTAACCTCCCCGAACTTCAGTTACTTCTCTATATAATGGGAAAGTGCACCTCCCCAATCTAATGACCTGATACATGGATGAACCTATTTGCAGAAAGCCTGAGATATATTAAATATAATGCATTATGATTAAATGCCTTGGAATATCACCTTGTACCTGTTTGTGTTTGCCTTGGCATCTAGCAAGATAAGACAGCAGGGCTCTGGGGAACTTGCTGAAACCATAGCAATCCCTAAGAAGAAAACGGATTCCAGAAAAGTAAAGCTGGCCATGCATTTCGTGAGGTGATTACTGCTCCAGCTCCTCCCTACCTCTGGGTGGAAGATTAAGTGAGTCCTAAGCTCAGGTCACAGATAGTACTTACCTGCAAAAGAGAGGTCTCTCCTGAGTCTTAGTGGAATCGCTAGAAGTTATCCTAATTGCAATTTAAATAATACACCATTTGGGAGCAATGAGAAAAGAAGGAAGAAAACCAGCACCTCATGCATGTGACTCTGGGTGAGGCCCTCTTCTTTTAACAGCTCTGGGGGACTAAATATTATGATGCACAATTCCCATTCAGACTTTCTTAGAAATGTTTTTTTTTTCCTTAAGTGCTTAATATTTATATGCATTAGTCTTCATGTCATGCCGGAGCACAACATGTCTGTCAATCCTGACAGATAAATAGAAAGGGGTCAAGAATGGTCATTTCATCTGAGCATCCTGAGATAGTCGAGACTTTCCCCAAGAAGGAGCAAATTGTCAGCAACTTACCTGACAAGAGGTCACTACATTTGGTTTTCCATACCACCACTCAACACTAATAAACATTTATATAGTGCCTACTCCATACCAAACTATTCTAAGCAATTTGTAAACTGGAACTCATTTAACCTCCATCAAGGTTTAGGTAACAGGGCTATGCTTTAAACCCTATGTTGCCTTCTAGCCAGTGGGTACAAGAGACCAGTGGTCCAGTCGTAGAAGGTCTGAGCTGGAGGATCATCTGTCTCAACGTCTACATTTTACAATTTGGGAAAGCAACGCAGCTTGACCCAGGCTGCACGGCTCACATGCATCTGACAGTTGTTAGGGACTAAAACCCCTGTCTTTTAACTCCAAGCCCTGGTTAATTTGCATTGCGCCATACTCCCTTGCCCTAACGAAAGCTACTTTTGTCTTCCTTCCAGCTGAGCCAGTTCCAGCTGTTGGAACAAGAGATTACAAAGCCCGTGGAGAATGACATCTCGAAGTGGAAGCCCTCTCAGAACCTGCCCCCAACAAACGGTGGCGTGAGTGCCCAGGATCGGCAGTTGCTGTGCTTCTACTATGACCAATGTGAGACCCATTTCATCTCCCTTCTCAACGCCATCGACGCGCTCTTCAGTTGTGTGAGCTCAGCCCAGCCCCCACGAATCTTTGTGGCACACAGCAAGTTTGTCATCCTCAGTGCACACAAACTGGTGTTCATTGGAGACACGCTGACACGGCAGGTGACTGCCCAGGACATTCGCAACAAAGTGATGAACTCCAGCAACCAGCTCTGTGAGCAGCTCAAGACTATAGTCATGGCGACCAAGATGGCCGCCCTCCATTACCCCAGCACCACAGCCCTGCAGGAAATGGTGCACCAAGTGACAGACCTTTCTAGAAATGCCCAGCTGTTCAAGCGCTCTTTGCTGGAGATGGCAACATTCTGAGAAGAAAAAAAAGAGGAAGGGGACTGTGTTCATGGTTACTAAGGAAAACTGGAAATATTATCTGGTTTTTGTAAATGTTATCTATTTTTGTAGATATTTTATATGAAAATGAAATATTTTAACATTTTATGGGTTAGACAACTTTCAGAAATTCAGGGAGCTGGAGAGGGAAATCTTTTTTTCCCCCTGAGTGGTTCTTATGTATACATAGAAGTATCTAAGACATAAACTGTACAGAAACTTGTCCCCATGCTTGTGTATGCCTGTATATTCATGTTTGTTTGTAGATGTTTGTCTGATGTATTTCATTAAAAAAAAAATGAATTAAGAAGCACCTTAGTAAGCACCTTCTAATGCTGCATGTTTTTGTTGTTAAAAGCATGCCAGCTGGTTATAATATTGTTCTCCGTGTACTTGTAATGATTCTGAGCCTGGCTCTGCCAAACCTGGGAAGCACGTATGTTTGCAGGTGTTCACCTTCCAAATGAGGAGCCTGGCATTATTCGTGTTTTGAAAACTCTTCACAATTGACCATTGTAAACACACGATGGCCAAATGCCCAAAAGCCCTCTTGCAGAGCAAATTTCAGAATATATCGGTGAATCCAAGCTCTGATATTTCAGGTGCTGGAGGGAGGACAGACCTCTGTGTTTAGAGGCCAGGACCACAGTTAGGGTTGGGTTGTTTCAATACTGAGAGAGCTACAGTAAAAGGAGAGCAACTGCCTCCCTGGGGCTATTGGATCTTCTGCATTTGTGAGCAATTCTGCCGTGAGGTTTTCCAAAAGATGTTTTTTGAGTTGTAAAAACTGTATTTGCAGCAAGGATTCACAAAGACATAATCAGATTATGATTGTTCACCAAAGCAGGGGAATGGTTTGATCTGCCAGTTGCAAGTAGAGGCCTTTCTGACTCTTCACATTCACTTTGGTGCTACTACCCCCGTTACCTGAGGGAAACTGGCCAGGTCCTTGATCATGGGACTATAGAGCCATCAGGACATATCCTGCTCTCTAAGGGAATTTATTGCTTGGTTTTGCACCTTCTTTAAAACTCACACATGCAGACCTGACACTCAGAGTGGCTAGTTACACAGAGTCCATCCAATTTTTACACCTTCGTGTGACCAGTGTGTATAACCCCTACCGCTATGTCACAGGTAGTCACAGCATCCATTCCACAGTATGTCTCCTCACACCAGTTAGTACTGACACAGCACAGACACCATAAGCCAACAAGTTCTTCATGGGGCAGGTGAAATACTGCTACCCCATGGGTAAATGCATTCGTATATTACCAAGAGAAGAAACACGTTATCTGTGATCTTTTGGTCCAGTTCCTATTTAGCATTTTATTCCAGCCTGTTTGGAAACATGTTTTTATTTGCATCATATGCCTGATTGAATTAACCTTGCTTGTTGTAAACAACCAAATCATTAGAACAAAAAAAAAAGGTTAAAAAAACAAGAATGTATAATCTCAGCGTGTTTTTAAAAAAAATCAGTGGAAATAAACGATCATAGAAGGTGCTTTTCAAAACAACTGCTACTATAATTTTCAAAGTCCTGCTCTGCCAAAAAAAGATGAAAAGTCACACGTTATATGACAAGGAAATGTGTATGTGGAGAGAGGGTTGCTGAAAATCAACAACACTTGAAGTTAAAAAGTGTGTCTTTGTAAATTTCATTGTATGATGTGTAATTCTTAGGAGATGGCTGACTTGATTGATCTACTCTAAGTGGAGACATTTCGCATTTTTGAAACCAAAATGTTCAATCTGTATTACTCCTTGCCATCTTGTATGTAAAGGCTATTTTAAAATCATTAAATTTTTAGATCTCTGTTTTGATAACCACTGGGTTTTCTTTTTCATATTCCTCTGTCACAGAATGCAATATTGGCTTACTTTGGCACTCCTAATATAAGAAGTTAAATTATGATTATTTTATCAATGCTATAGGTCTGAATTTTTTAAGAAAAATTGAGGGTTTGGTTTTGTTTTGTTTTTATATATATGTCACTTCCAGGTGTATTTGCATTCAAAGAAAATTCTGGAATCTGTGAATATTATCAAATTCAAATATCTGGAACAAGGCTTATGTTCACCAAAAAAACCCACACATTCAGTAATGTGAAATAATTGCTTTTGTAATATGGGTATTACCATTCATGTGGTTTTTAAAATCAAAGGAAATTGTTCTATTTATTTTGGAATAGTCATAAATAATTAAAAGCAAGGCATATTTAATGAAATTAAGAGATTTATAACCATGTGGATTATAATTTTAATGGTTGGCCCACTCTTTCATTCAGGTATCTCACTGAGATGTACAGACAAACAAATTATTTCAATATATCTTGTACCATTTTGTCCATACGTATTAACTTATTTTTGACAAAGCATTAACTTATTTTTGACAAAAATGTCAAGGTACTTCAATGAGGAAATGAAAAGTCTTCTGAATGAAATGAAATGAAAAAAAAATGGTGCTGGAACAACTAGATCTATAGGGAAAAAAATGAATACACATCTTATGTACAACCCAAAAATTAACCCAAATGGATCATAGACCTAAATGTAAAACTTAAAATTCCTAGAAGAAAACATAGGAGAAAATCTCTGTGACCTTACGTAGATAGAAGTTCCGTATTTGAAACACTTTAAAAATTTAACTCAGAAAAGAATGATAAATTGGACTTCTCAAAATTAAAATGATTATTCTTCTAAGGATAGCATTAAAACCAGAAATCAAGCCAGAAAACAGGAGGAAATACAATACATCTATCAGCCAAGGACTTACATCAGACTTAGGAGACAAACAACTAAATTTATTTAACTTGGCAAAAATTTGTAGAAAAAACCTTATAAAAGAAGACATATGTAGGTAAATGGAAAAGTAAATAAATACCACACCAAATAGAATCACTAAAATTAAAAAGACAAACCATACCCAGTGTTGGTACAAGAAAAGGAAGAAAACGTTGCTCTTGTACATCACATGTGGCTACAGAAGGTTTGAAACACAACTAGTACAACTGAGGACATTTTTCATGTAAGTTAATTTTTGCCACATGTGGTTAGTGGCTCCTGTACTGGACAGCACAGTATCTATATCTTGAGTGTTATAGTAATTATGTGCATGCATAAATTTGTCAAAACTTACTATAAAATACACTTAAAATACGTGCATTTTATTGTAGGTAAGCCTTACCTGAATAAAGTTGATTTTAAAAAGAGATAAAGCAGTTCCCAACTGATTTCTAATGCTCCAATTTTTCAAGTCAATATTATCATCAATTCACAAAAACATCAGCAGGCCCATAGAAAGAGACCAAACAAACTAGAAAGTCAAGCTTCTAAAACCACAGCAGGTTACTGCTTTAGAGCCAATGACACTGAGCTAGTTCATGTCCCACCAGGAACACAAATGTGGTTTCCTAACCCTGAGTCAGTAAAACCCTATCTGGGCTTTAGACGCTTCCCCATAAACCACATCTACATTCTTTATATTTTTTGAGGGATTATGATAAAAGAAAAATTGTCATTCTCCAAAGAACCTAAAAAACAGTAAGGATTCACTTATTCATTGAACATTTCCTGCCTGGCCAGCTGGAGCAGGCAAACCCGCCCTGGGTATCAATAAGGCCCTGCTGTCCCCACCGAAGGAGCCAGCCCCACCTCACAGCCAGTGTCTCTGTGTGCTCAGCAACGTGTTGTGCACCAAAGGGACAGAAGAAGAAGGGAGTTGTGGATTCTGCCTTTCTTTGTTTGATATAAAAAACAAACATGTCCTTTAAACAGTTTAAGGCAGATTACAGACAAATGCTCACGTAATCTACACGCAAAGATTTTAAAGCAGAGAAAATGAGAAACATCAAAGTGATCGGGCTGGTGAGAAACAGCCTCTAGCCAAGGGCGGGTTGAAGAGGTTGATCATAAAGAAAGGTGTCCTACTCTGCACTGTGGGGCTATCACAGACTACCAAACACTGGGTAATGTATAAAGAACAAAAATTTGTTTCTCGCAGTTCTGGAAGCTAAGAAGTTCAAGGTTGAGGGCTTGTATCCAGTGAGGGCCTTCCTGCTGCATCATCGCATGATGGAAGGTAGAAAGGCAAGAGAGCAGCCTCAGGCTCAAAAATTGATGATCCCCCTTAACCATGCACAAGGGTGGAGCCCTCCCCACCTCCCGCTGGGCCTCGGCTCCAAATGCTGCTACAATGGGGTTAAGTTTCTGACACATGCTTTTCGGGGGATACATTCAGACCATACCAGAAAAGCTAACTGGATGGCAGAGGAAAGGCTGGCAAAGGCTGATGGCCAAGAAGGCATGCCGCAGAGATGCAGTGGAGAGATGGCACGATGAGGGGCTCTCCGGAATCACACTGCAGTGACTTCCGCTTTGCATTTTGTACCTTCAGAGAATTCACTTAGAATAGACTTACCAACAAACATCGCATGTTCTCACTCATAGGCGGGTGTTGAACAACGGGAACACATGGACACAGGGAGGGGAGCACTACACACTGGGGTCTGTTGGGAGGAAACGGGGTGGGGAGGTGGGGAAGGATGGCATGGGGAGAAATGCCAGATATAGGTGAAGGAGAGGAAGGCAGCAAACCACACTGCCATGTGTGTACCTATGCAACAATCTTGCATGTTCTACACATGTACCGCGAAACCTACAATGCAATAAAATAAATAAATAAATAAATAAAAAGAATAGACTTACCAAATATTTGCTGGCCTAATGACACTGGGCATTAGATGACATCATACCCTTTCGAAGAAGAGAAAGGAGATAAGACAGCAGGAGGGGCCTGGATGAGACAAAGATGATGAGGATAATGAAGACTATGAAAGGATAAAGGGGAGGGGATGGAGAGAGGAGGAGAGGAAAAAGCAGAGGCCAGAGACAGAGAAGCAAGAAAAAGGGTGATTAGAAAAGAGGCAGAGAAACAAAGAACAGACTGCAAGAGATGCACAGGATATCGGAAAGCAAAATGTGATGTGCTTTGGTCATCTAGGTTCTCAAGATATTGTCAGGAACAAATAGTAGATATTTCTTGAAAACAGGGCCACATTGTCATTTTGAGAAACACATCATCTGTCAGTCTCTTGAAAAGACTAAATACTCGTGAGCATGTAAAAGGCTCTAGGCCCGGCACGGTGGCTCATGCCTACAATCCCAGCACTTTGGGAGGCCAAGGTGGGTGGATCACCTGAGGTCGGGAGTTCAAGACCAACCTGGCCAACATGGTGAAACCCCGTCTCTACTAAAAATACAAAAACTAGCTGGGCATGGTGGTGCACACCTGTAATCCCAGCTACTCAGGAGGTTGAGACAGGGGAATTGCTTGAATCCGGGAGGCGGAAGTTGCTGCAGTGAACTGAGATCATGCCACTGCACTCCGGCCTGGGCAACAGAGTGAGACTTTGTCTTAAAAAAAAAAAAAAAAAAAAAAAAGGCTCTAAGAAGTCTTGCAATATAAAAACTCGCCTTATCTACTATTTCATAAAATTATTTTGACCCTAAGAGCCATTTTCTCTCTTAACATTTATTAAAACCTGGTCCAGGAGATTCAGATCGTTTTTGTTTTCCTTCCCTCACAAAAGAGTGAGGCCTGCCAATGTGACTCAGCTCACGGAATTATCATTGTTCTTGCCCACATTTATCAAGGTCAAGTTCTCTGTCTTTAATAGCCTTTTAGAAGCAGCAGGCTACGGGTCAGCACCTGTTCTGACCTTTAGCACCTATACTCACTTTGAATCCGTACAAAGCTTCTAAATAAGTAATGTGAAGATATTTTATTACTTCATTCATTTCTCATTATCTGAATATTTATCTTAGAATAAACATGACAGAAACAAACCAATAATTAATTTGGATGAGCTTTCCCAAATCATCAATTCATTGGGACCAGGATTTTTTTTTGTAGAAATGCTTTGGAAAGGCCAATATTATATGAAGAGTTTTAAAATAAAAATATCTCTCAGAAGAGAACCAAAAAAATGAAAGAAAAATAAAATACATATAAAAGGGAAGATAAATAGAGTCAGAGACACATTTCTAGTGCATCTAGAAATTTAATCTAAGAAGAGGTGCTTGGTGCATGGAAAGGCTTTTGAAGGTGTCAAGAACGGTAAGGACAAATACATACTTTGGAAAAATATGGTTTAAGTGGTTAAACCCTGGCTATGTTAAGGCACAAGAGCAATAGATGTGCTACTGTAAAAATGACATCAATCTCCACCATTTGTTGGTGTCTCGTTTGAGTCAGCAACACTACAAGCACATTACCTCAAACTCCTAAGTAGTTCTTATTTTCACTTTGCAGAGGAGGAGGCTGAAGCTAGAGGGGAATTAAACAATTGGCCCGAGTTTCAAGGCTGGCAAATGGAAGTGGTCCTCTCCCTGTACTTCACAAGCACTCTGCCAGCTGCGGGTAGGAATGTGTACGAAGGATATCCTCTAGGTGTTGGAAACAGATGCTCGGTGCCATAAAGAAAAATCAGCACTGAGACAAAGGATCTCTCAGCAAAGGAACTTTCACTCCTGGACTGCAGGAAGGGTACCCTCAATAGCCATCTTGCCACAAGAGTACAAGGAATAAAGGAAAAGCAGACATATTTATCCCTTACATATTTGCGGTCATCCTTACTGCTGTGTCTGATCTCCGCTGGCTGGAGCCAGACCTCACAATCGAAACTGAAACACAACTGGCTAACAACTTGAAATTTTTTAAACAGGTAAGAGGCACAGGCTGCCATCTGGGACATGCCTGTGAGCACGTCCAGCACAGTTATCTTGGTTAAAGTGCAAGGACATAGAATATACTACGTGCCTGTAAG